TAAGTTTTGGGGAAAAACAAAAAAAGTTCAAAAGTTTTATAATTTTCAAAAGGGAACTAAAATAATAATAAAATACAAAAAAATTTTTTAATAAATAAAATTGATCACAAACCTCTGCCCCTTTTTTTCGAAATCCCTTTAAAAAAGGTATTTGCACGGCCATGCATATAAATTTTTTACGTTTACGTCCCTTTTTAAATTATATGAACAAAAGGATAAGACCCCAAACCAAAAGTTTTTTGGGTTATTTATAGGCGTGTAAATGAAAAAATTGGGGGCCTTTTTTAAACTACAAAACAGTTTTTTATTTTTGTTTTTTGAAAAAATAGAATAATTTTAAAATTTGTGTTTGTTCATTACAAGAAATTTAAAATTTAACTCGTTGAATAAAAATAATAATATTGAGCCTCTTTAATAATTAATGCCAGCGGCCCGCAAAATATTATTTTATTCAACAAAGTTCAATAAATTCAGTATTAAAACTTCCACTCATTCAATATCCTCTATTTATCACATACCCGTGCCTCTTTCACGACTCCGTAAATTCTCAATTGCATGGCCTTGCATATAGTTTGACGTGACGTCATTTGCAATACTTGCAAACATAGCGTTAAGATGCTCTAAATGTTACCGTTACAGTACACTACATAGGCAAGTGAGTAAAAAAGGGATTCTTTTCACCATAAAAAACAGTTATTATGTTGGTTATGTGATATATAGAATATTATATATATGTAAATTCATTACTTAATTTATTGAACTCGTTGAACAAAATGATATTATACAACTTATTCAATAAATTCAGTATTGAATCAACACTCATTTAATATCCTCTATTTCTGTCTGCTTTTAATGCTTCATAATATTTATTATATAAGTTCATGTCACCAAGTTTCTAGCTTTTAAATGACAGAGAAATGTCAGCAGGTGCAATTAGATACAGCCACATATGTATGTCTCAATTTATTAAGTTCATATTCTTTGAATAATGTTCACAAAAAAAACTTGGGCATGGCTTCGACCGAATAACATTCTATAGGCAATAAAAAGAAAGAAAAAAAACAGTTACATGTATATATATTATTGAGAAAATATGGAAAGACTATAAAATGAATGTATAAGATATATATCTTATTAATAATAGGTTTGTGAAAAATATTTGCATCTACAAAATACCTTTCAAAAACACTGGATCCAAAGAAGGATACAAGAACGTGGAAAAAAACAATAAATTTGGAGAAAATAAACGTTCATACAGTGCTAAAGTATAAATACCCAAGTACTTTCGGCGTATTATGCCTTCATGAAGGCATAATACGCCGAAAGTACTTGGGTATTTATACTTTAGCACTGTATGAACGTTTATTTTCTCCAAATTTATCTTATTAATAATATATATACATGTAAAACAAAAACTAAAATAAAAAAATAAATGTCAATGTATCTTTAACATTTTGTGTTTGTCAATTTCATAATAAAATGTCATTGAGTACCAGTACAGGAATAATATCTTCACTCTATGAATAAAATGAATTTGGGTCCACATATGGTTTATTGCTTACAAAATTACACTTTTCTGTCACAAAAACAAATCAATAAAGTTAATAAGACTTGTCAAAAAAATGACCTTCTTGTAATGTATATCTGGGTAAGATATTTTGATAAGATAAAAAATAATCCTAAAAATTATCAAATGTGCATTGAAAGAAAAAAAAGGAGTGTTTTGTAAAATTTATTAAACAATAGCATGCAACGGTGCTAGTCACACTGGTTTGACCTAATATTTGTTTAATATTGTTATTTAAAGATCCTGTATGTTGTAATCAGGATGTAACAACACTTAAGTAAAATTTTATATATGTATATAAATTATGCTTCTAAAAGATTCAAAACAGTAAAGAATATGTTAAATATGTAATGCAAATGTTTATAAGCAATATAACTAATCATTAAAATATATGCATTCAGTTCTGATTGAAAGATTTGGCTTAGACTTTACCGAAATAAATTTCTAATTACCTCCCTTTATTACTTCGGCAATATATTTACAAATAATGCCTTTTGGAACTTACAATATTGATAAATCTCCATTTGAGTATCATATTTATGATATAAAAGCATAAAAAAAATTTAAGTTACAGGATCTTTAATATGTAATACCATGATCTTTAATATCATATACACATATTAAGAAAATTTAAAATCTGATTTACTTATTTTTGTCTGTACCAAGATACATTGTAGCAAAAACTTTTTTCTTCTTCTTCTATTAGTATAAGTTAATATAATACTCATCTAATTTCATGTAAGCACTAAAGCCTGTGGTGTAATTGTATCTAATGAAAACATAAATCTTATCTTCTCTATTTTGGTAAGGTTTTAGCATGGCAATGAATACAGTAATAGGCCATATGGCGAATATTTCACTTTTTTCTGGTGGAGGAAGGGAAGAAAGGCCTCAGGTGCCCCTCCATGTATCAAATTTCAGGGCATGAACGGGCCACCCAAGTAAACCACTGTAGAACCATCAACGTTTTTGATATGCTTAGCTGGATAGCTTTTTTCACTAAAAAGATTTTCCAAAGTTGTCTTGCAGGGTTTGAACCTAGAGTGGTAAAGGTCATGTGCTTTGAAGTCAACAACCTTAACTGCATGGCAACAGCGTGTTCTATATTCAATTTCAGAATATGGGAACACAGCTTTAAAATTTAGCTTCAACTACATATGTATGTCTTGGCTTTGGACTTACATCTATCAGTGAAACAATGGGATGGGTTTAAAACTATGCTAGCTGGCATCAGCATTTTTCGTACTGCATACATATGTCTCTAGCTGGTGATTAAAATCATTTATTTTCCAGAAATATACTGATTAATATCAGTTATTATTACTCATATAAAAGTTACTCAGTCCAAGTATGTATGGTATTTTTGAAATTGTTTGATAAGAAATAAAGATATGCATGTATTAAATAATCATCAATGCTTTTATTCACATCTGTTGAGAAATAGAGGATTTTCATACAGAAAATACTGTTTTACACTCAGCCGCCCACACTCCACATTCACCTAGAAACTAGTTTCCCTGTGGAAAAAACCTGGCAATAAATTAACAGGTTAAAGTGAAACAAGAGCCATGTCAACATGGCCATCCCCTGCCGAATGTGTTTGCTCGTTGGAAGAATGTATATGTAGTAGAGCAGAATAACTCCATTTTAAGAGGTCTTTTGGTAATGAAAACTGATGGCTATAGTGATTACAGATTTGAAACCTATGTGAATACTAATGGCTGAAAATAACAAAGGGCAATAACTGAAAAATAATGCAGAGTAGGTTATCATTCTTGTGTGCTGCATTCCTCCTCAGTAAAATCTATCCACCTATGAAGTTTCAAGTTGATACCTCAAATACTTTTTGAGAAAAAAATTGAATTGAAAAATTAAGTATGAAAAATAACAAAGGGCAATAACTCAAAAATAATACAGGGTAGAGTTATCATTCTTAAGCACTGCACTCCTCCTCAATGGGATCCATCCACCTTTGAAGTTTCAAGTTGATACCTCAAATACTTTTTGAGATAAGCTCTGGACAAAATAGCATGAAAAAAAACAAAGGGCAATAACTCAAAAATTGTATAGGAAAGAGTTATCATTCTTGCGCACAACATACCTCCTCAATAAGATCTATCCACCTATGACATTTCATGTTGATATCTCAAACACTTTTTGAGTTATGCTCCACTCAGGTGAAAAATTAGGTATGAAAAATAACAAAGGGCAATAACTCAAAAATTATGAAAGGTAGAGTTATCATTCTTGTGCACTGCACACCTCCTTAGTGAGATCTATGCACCTATGAAGTTTCATGTTAATATCTCATAGGCTTTTGGAGTTATGCTCTGGACAAAAATCAATTTTGAAAAATAACAAAGGGCAATAACTCAAAAATCATGCAAGATAGAGTTATCATTCTTGTGCACTGCACTCCTCCTCAATGAGGTCTATCCACCTATGAAGTTTCAAGTTGATAACTCAAATACTTTTAGAGATATGCTCCGGACAAAAATGTCGGATGGAAGGACGGACGGACGGAAGGTCGGACGGACGGACGCAGACTATTTCTATATCTTCCGCCGAAAATTTTCGGCGGGGGATAATAAAATCTTGAAATACCGTATGATGATAATTTACTAAAAAGAAATCTCCAGATCAAGGAAGAGGTATAGGTAAACTGAACATTTTTTACCAGTAAAATAAATTTCTAAGGTCACAAATTCCTTTTTACAAACAAAATTTTTCTGTCTTTCTTTCTTTCCAAAGATCATGCCCTCGCAAAAGTAGGGTAAATTGTTTTCTCTTTAGAGAAATGTGTAATGCTTTTTTTCATAAGACCCAACAAAATGATAAACACATTTAAACTTTCATCTTTGTTTTTTTCTCGTTTTACGATTTTGTGGTGACGTCTCCGAGGAGGCCCCGACCACAACTTGACTGCCTTGTATTTCCTCTTGTGACACGCCCTCGGCATTTTTAAGTTTTCCTTGTGCTTCAACATAAAACATGACATCACGTAGCTGCTCCCTCAATTCCTGAATCTCCTATAAATAAACATGAAATTTCTGGTTTTATTATAATTGGATTGACAAGAGTTTTTCAATTGGTATCTCTCTGTGACATTGACCTTTGACCTAATAGCCTACTAATTAAGTCCAATCCATGGGCCTTGGGCAATGTCCCTACCAAGTTTCAAATACTTATAACAGTATGCCTCCAGATTCAAACTTCTATTAGTGAAATTTTAAACAAGAACTGTCGGAGGACAGTACCGCTCGACTATTTGAACAGTTGTCACAAGGTTGTTTCATTGAGTATAACTAGAACTATCACTAAATGTGATTAATACCCCACAAGACTTGCTTCGGAAATGAGGATGTTACTAGTAACAGAATACCTTGTAAAATAATTAAAATATAGAGTTTATGGTTGTGGGCAATTAAAGATAGTTGTGGTTCTTATATGTTGCATTTCCTTTCAATGTGGGTTGGCCATTGATGAAGTTTAATTGAATTACTCTGTAATAAGTCCAGAAAGACAAAGAAAAGGAACAAAGGGCAATAACTCTATAAGTCTGTATTTTGTCAAATGGAGTTATTGTTCTTGTGCACTGCACTTCCTCTTAATATCCTTGACAACTGTATGAAGTTGTATTGAATTCCAAACAGTAGTTTTCAAGTTATGCTCTGGACAAAGAAAAGTAACAAAGGGCAATAACTCTGTAATTAGTCAAGATAGAGTTATGGTTCTTGTGCACTGCACTTTCTCTTCAATGTGCTTGACCATTGTTTGAAGTTATATTATTTCCAACCATTAGTCTTCAAGTATGGTCCAGACAAAAAAAGGCAATGGAAAAGTAACAAAGGGCAATAACTCTGTAATTACTTTTAGATAGAGTTATGGTATTTTGTGCACTGCACTTCCCCTTATTGTGTTTGACAATTGTATGAAGTTGTTTTGAATTCCAACTAGTTGTTTTCAAGTTTATGCCTCGGACAAGGAAAAGTAACAAAGGGCAATAACTCTGTATTAGTCAAGATAGAGTTATTGGTTCTTATGCACTTGCACTTCCTCTCAATGTGCTTGACCATTGTTATGTAGTTATATTGACATTCCAACCATTAGTCTTCAAGTTATGGTCCGGACAAAAAAGGAATAGGGAAAGTAACAAAGGGCAATAACTCTGTAATTACTTTAGATAGAAATTATGGTTCTTGTGCACTGCACTTCCCCTTTTGTTGTTTGACAATTGTGCGAAGTTTGTTTTGAAAATTCCTAACAGTAGTTTTCAAGTTATGCACCGGACGGAAAAAGTAACAAAGGGGGCAATTACTCTGTAATTAGTCAAGATAGAGTTATGGTTCTTGTGCACTGCACTTCCTCTCAATGTGCTTGACCATTGTATGTAGTTATATTGAATTCAAACCATTAGTCTTCAAGTTATGGTCCGGACAAAAAAGGCAATGGAAAGTCAAAAACTCTGTTTAATAACTTTAGATAAAGAGTTATGGTTCTTATGCACCTGCACTTCCCCTTATTGTGTTTGACCAATTGTAATGAAGTTGTTTTTTGAATTCCAACCAGTTAGTTTTCAAGTTTATGACCCGGACAAGGAAAAAGTAACAAAAGGCAATAACTCTTGTAATTAGTCAAGATAGAGTTATGGTTCTTGTGCACTGCAACTTCCTATCTATGTGCTTGACCATTGTATGTAGTTATATTGAATTCAAACTATTAGTCTTCAAGTTATGGTCCGGACAAAAAAAAGCAATTGGAAAAGCAACAAAAGAGCAATAACTCTGTAAATTTACTTTAGATAGAGTTATGGTATTTGTGCACTGCACTTCCCCTTATTGTGTTTGGGCAATTGTATGAAGTTGTTTTGTATTCCAACCAGTAGTTTTCAAAGTTATGCCCCGGACAAAGGTGGAAAAGTTAACAAAGGGCAATAACTCTGTAATTAGTCAAGATAGAGTTTTATGGTTCTTGTGCACTGCACTTTCCTCTCAATGTGCTTGACCATTGTATGTAGTTATATTGAATTCCAACCATTAGTCTTTCAAGTTATGGTCCGGACAAAACAAAAGCAATGGAAAAGCAACAAAAGGGCAATAACTTGTAATTACTTTAGATAGAGATATTTGGTTCTTGTGCACTCCACTTCCCTTATTGTGTTTGACAATTTGTATGAAACGTTTTGAATTCCAACCAGTTGTTTTCAAGTTATGCCCCGGACAAGGAAAAGTAACAAAAGGGCAATAACTCTGTAATTAGTCAAGATAGAGTTATGGTTCTTATGCACTGCACTTCCTCTCAATGTGCTTGACCATTGGTATGTAGTTATATTTGAATTCCAACCATTAGTCTTCAAAGTTATGCTTCCCGGACAAGGAAAATGCAAACGGACGTCTGGACCCGACCCCGACCGACCAAACCGACCGACCGACCACCGGGTGACTCCTATATACCCCCCCAAACTTCGTTTTTGGGGGTATAATAATGCTTACCTATATGAATACAATAAAAATTATTTTTAAAGGTTCAAAGGCTTGTTATTAAGATGCTTTATCGAGTAGATCACTGCTTTATTATTATGAATGCATAAAAAATTGTCCCAAAAAAGGCACAAAATTTTCAGTAGTTTATGGAAAATACCAGCTTACAAGCAAAAACCTTTACCAAGAATTTCTAAGCCGCAAAAAAGAGGCATAATTATGAAAAAAAATAAGGGTTATGGGACTTGTGCCAATCATGTTAAATAATCACTGAGAAACAAGTGTGTAAAATTCCAATCCATTCCCTTTCAGTATTTATGGAGATACCAGCTTACTCGCATAAACTTAACCAAGAAATTTTCTAAGTCGAAAAAGGGGCATACTTATGCAAAAAAGCAAATCAGAGTTATGAAACTTGTGTCAATCATGTTAGATAATCACAGAGAACAAGTGTGTGAAGTTTCAATCCATTCCCTTCAGCTAGTTATGGAGATACAACCTTACACGCAAAAAACTTAACCAAGAATTTCTAAGTCGAAAAAAGGGGCATAATTATGCAAAAAAAAGCAATTCAAAGTTATGGGACTTGCGCATATCATGTTAGATAATCACAGAGAACAAGTTTGGTGAAGATTCAATCTATTTCCTTCAGTAGTTATGGAAATACCACCATACACCGCATAAACTTAACAAAGAATTTCTAAGTCGAAAAAGGGGCATAATTATGCAAAATAGCAAAATCAGAGTTATGGGGACTTGTGCCAATCATGTTAGATAATCACAGAAAACAAGTGTGTGAAGTTTCAAATCCATTCCCTTCAGTAGGTAAAAAGAATACCAGCTTACACGCTTACATTTTTTTTCTCAAGTTTTTGCTTTTCTTGAAATATTTTGGCTCATCTGGAGGCTGCATATGCAGCTTTAAGTTTTCCTTCTTCAAGTAATTGAGCAAACATGAATTTTACACTAAGTTTCGCTGTGACCTTTACCTAATGATCATTAAATCAATAGAGGTCATCTCACTGGATAGACCAATCTCCCAGAGTGTAAACCTAGATGTTATAAAGTTATTCAGCAGAAATCAATGGGTTGCTGACAGATCAACAGATGTTATTTATATTATGTACTGATAGACAGATAAGAACAAAAAACCATTCAAGAGCCAATTTGCTTGACTAGAATTTATGGAAAGAGAAGGGGGGGCTAATTCCTTAAAAACTGCTTGCAGAAATTACCTGCCCTTGATAAATAAACAACTTAACCCCTTTCCCTCATGAGTTATATTGGTCGAAACAAGAGGGCCATGAAATGCCCTGAGGTCGCTCAACCTGTTTATAGGCCCAAGACGAAGACGGTTGAATCCACTAGGTCACCCTTGAGAATATTTCAGGGGAGGCTTATAAAAATGGCCTTTTTCATTGAAAAGCCCCCTGGGTTACAAGTTAAAACTGATTAATGAAAACTATTGAAAAAATTTGCCCTTAAATACTAATCAAAACTTGGGCACACCATGTTGAACTGGACCATTGCCTTTGTAAACGACTGCTTCAGTTTAAATTTCCGTTTACCAAAGCAACGAGGGGACGTCCTCAAAATACCTAAATTCCCATATTTTGCCTTCGGATTTTTTTCCATCAAGTGCTGAACTTCTAAGGGGTTTGAGATAGAGTCAAAGGCTTTTCAGCCCTTGGTTACACATTACCCTTTTTGATCGATCTGGGATCATTTTCAACCTCTCACAAGTACAAAATTTCTTTTTGGGCGATGGGAAAGGGGATTGCCCCCCCCCTTCAAACCCCCCAAACAGAAGGGGCACCACATCCCCCCTTCCTGGCAACCCCCTGATGTATCTTTTTTGGATGGGGGAACCGCTCCGGAAAAAATTGCTTCACTTTTCTTAAGCAACATATTCTCCAACGAAAACATATAATTTGGGGCCCCCCAAATAGGACATTTTCTCACTATTTGAGGCCTAAAAGGGGGGGGGGTCGAAAGTGTGTTTGTTTTCGCGTATATTATAGGTAAAGGGTTAAGTGAAATAGTGATCTTGATTTTGTTTGTTTTTATTGTTTTTTTTTTGTTTTTGTTTTTTTCAATAAAATTAGAAAAAAATAACAAGACCTGTCAAAAGGACAACAGGTTCCTCGTTTTTTTTTCAGTGCTGGGATAGTGTAATTTAAAATTCACAATATAAAAAGGGGACCATAATTTTGCAAAACTGCTTGGCAGACCCTTACCTAGCCTTAATAGTGAACTTGTTTTCAAGTTTTGAACATTAATTGTTCTTTTTATATAGATAAAGGCAAAACACTCTAAATAAAAAAACCGGAGATGGTTAACAAAATATTGCTTTCCAGGATTATCTTCCCTTTAGAAATGGCCATTTCAAAATTTTACCAGGTGAAAAAGAAGTAGAAGGCAAGAAATGAATGAAGAAGACTGTTTTTTATTTTTGCGACTTACTTATCTTTTTTGGAAGTTGTAAAATCTTTTGGAATTCTGGACTCCCAATGGTAGTAACTCGTTTCTGCCAACACTTTTTGATTGTCAAGTAACACTTATTCATCTCTTTCCTCTTTCTTGCAGATCGTGTAGTGCTTTTTTCAAGACGTGTCTGTAGCTAAAAAATTTAAATAAAGTTAATAGAAACATGATTTTCCCTGTTAGTTTCAGTCCCATTTATATATTTAGGAAAATACGTTGGGAGGACTGAAACAAGGTCGGATAAGACAAGGGAGTCGTTGAAAATCAGGGGGTGGCTAAGGCAGTCTTGACTGTAACTTGTAAATTTTTTCTTAATCAGCTAATAATTCACCCTTAACAGATAAACGAATAATTAGCTTTGCTTGATAGTAACACCAAGATCCTTGATAACAAAGAACTTTAAACAAATGGGTCATGATGGCCCTGAAATCACTCACATGAATTTTAAAAACTCTTCCATGACAAGGAACAAGTAAAATTGTAAACTATAAAACAAAAGCAGATATAAAATCTAAATCTTAAACTGATATCACAAAGTTCATATTTGGTATCACAGAAATAGTGCATGTGTAAAAACAATACTGGTTGCTATTGCAAAGGGAAAACAACAGTTGCCACAGATGTGTACAATAGGGAAAAATCAATGACCCCATGGGGCAAATTTTCACCAAAGAGCTTTTATTTAAACAACTTGGTAAACTCTTATGAGACAATGTATCATGCTTAATATCTAAGCTCTATCTATTTGGTTTCTTTAAAAGAAGATTATTTAAAGTTTTTACTATATACATATAAGGAAATCAATGACAGCCCAGGACAGGGCCAATATTGACCCAAGTCTTTTTATTTGAACAATTTACTTGGTAAATATTCACTAGAAAATGTTTCATTTTTAATATCAAAGCTCTAGCTATTTGGGTTTTCTCAAAACAAGATTTTATTTTTTTTTTCTATGTGCATATAACGAAAATCAACTACCCACTTAGGCAGGGCCAATTTTGACCCCAGAAAATTTATTTGAACAAACTTGGTAAACACTCACTAGAAAATGTTATATCCTTAATATCTAAGCTCTAGCTCTTTTTTAAAAGATTTTTTTTTTACTATATGATGATATACAAATTAGGAGAATAAATTACCCCCCCCCCCCCCCCTCCCCGGGGCAGTGCCAATTTTTTACCCTAGAGCTTTTATTAAATAAACTTGGTACAATAAATTTAGTAAATGTCTCAATTAGTGATTGCTCTAGCACCTAGCTCCTTTGGTTTAAAAAAATAAAATAAATAAATTTTACTATATACATATAAGGAAAATCAATGACTCCCAGGGCAGGGCCAATTTTGACCCAAGGCCTTTTATTTGAACAAACTTGGTAGACACTCACTTGAAAAAGTTTCATGCCTAATATCTAAGCTCTAGCTATTTGTGTATTTTTTCTGAAGAAGATTTTTTTTAGTTTTTCTTATATAACATAAAATAACATTAAGTATATTCAGTACTTTTGCATCATCACGAAATCCAGTCGGATGGATGGACAGAAGGTAAACCTAAAGTCCCCCTGGTTAATCTAGTAGGGGACCAATAAAAGCTAGTTGGGAGCATAATAAAAGGAAATAATTGCCTCAAGCTAATCATTAAGTGTAGTACTATACAATTGTTTTTCTGTTAAGGATAATATCATCTTGTGTAACATGATACTTCCTGGTTTAAAAATTAAATAAATCTATCGCTACAAGTTTACACAGGTTAAATACATAGCAGTGGATAGACGGGAAGTGACTTGTCAGATAAGAAACTAAAGACGGCAATATCTTTAATATTCTAGACAGCAGTATAAATACCTGGTGAGTCAATTTACTCAATATCTATGTTTAAAAATTAAATAAAACTTATCAAGTATTTATATTACTTTAAATTGATTTAAGTTTGCCCTACAGTTTAAATAACCTTGAGAGAATTTTTTTATACCCCACCCACACTTCAAACTAACTTTAAATGGTTAATATTTTATTTTGATTGGTTAATGTGACAACATGATCTGCATATTCTTAAAAAAGGAATAACCTGAACACGTCAGTCACTAAACTATTACAAAAAGGTCATCGTAATCCTGTATTTCTCACCTGAGATATATTGCTAGGAAAGGTCACATTTTTTATTTTCCAAGAATGACTTCCTATTTCATCTGCCTTTAATATTATTTACCCAAGCTGCATTATTCTTCAGATATTTGTAGATGTCTGCTATTAAATGCTTAATGACAAATATCTAAGCTATTGGCATTGTAGTTTTACAAAACAAGAGGGCCCTGTATCACTCACCTGAGAAACAGGTCAAAGTGGAGCCCGTTTTCACCGCAGAAGCACAATTTGAAAACAAGGGACAGCTTAACCTTAACAATTTTGACCCTAAAGCAATTATTTAAACAAAGATGGCAGACATCCACTAGAAGATGTTTCATGCCAAATATCTAATCTATAGTGCTTTTGGATTGTCATAAGAAGATTTCTTAAGTTTTTACTATATACATATAAGGAAAATCAGTGACCCCCTGGGGTGGACCAATTTTGACCCTAGGAATTTTATTTCAACAAACATGGTAGACATACACTAGAACATGTTTCATGACATTGTCCTCATGTGAGCTTAAAAAAAAGCAGATATTAAATCTAAATCTTAAACTGATCACAAAGTTCAAATTTGTATGTGAAATAGTGCATGTGTAAAAACATTACTGGGAGAACAACAGTTCCAACAGATGTGTACAATGACAACTTGGGGCGAGGCCAATTTTCACCCCAGGGCTTTTATTTGAACAAACATGGTAGACACCCATTAGAAGATGTTTCATGCTTAACATCTAAGCTCTAGCTATTTAAGTTTTTTAAAAGAATTTTTTTAAGTGTTTACTATTTTAAGTTTTTTCTTTTGGTTGCCATGGCAACCATGGCAACCAGAGTTCTGCAAGGAATTTAATTCTTTGAACAACTTTGGTAGATTTTGACCCCATGGGCATGATTTACTTCACTTTGTGTAATTCTACATACCAAATATCTAAGCTCTGGGCATTGTAATTTCAGGGAAGAAGATTTTTTAAGACATTTTGACTGTACAAATCTATGTAAACTAAGTTAACCTTATTGCTTGGCCATTTTTTACTCCAGGGGTATGACTTATACAACTAGTGTAGAGATCCATTGAGCCATTGCTTCCTGCCAAATATCTGAGCTCCTGGTAATCATATTGAAGACTCACAAAAAAGACATAAATGTATTTTCCTTTACAAGTCTACATAAAGTAAGTGACTCCAGGGAAGGAGGCAAGTTTGATCACAAATGAGTCAAAATGTGATCACCAGAGTGTTCACAAGGTTTTTCCATATTTGGGCGGCGTGACCTAGTTTTTGACCCCAGGTGACCCATATTTGTCCTTCACCTAGAAATTATCAAAACAAACTTTCAGAGCAATTTCAAGTACTTTTTATTAAAACAGTAGTCACTAGAGTGTTAACAAGATTTTATATTTTTAGCTCCTGTGACCTAGTTTTTTCATCCAAGATTACCCATGTTCGAACTCATTCGAGCAATAAAGCTAGACAAGCGTCCTAAAAATCCTGAAAAAGTTTAATGATGATTGAGGCAAAAATGTGACGTTAGAGTGTTAACGAACAAATGTGGACGGACGACAGTCGACGGACGACTGACATTTAACAATCCTAAAACCTCACCCTGAGCAAACTGTAAAATCTAAGCTTTGAGCATTATAGGTTGAAACAAGATGAAATAAATGTGTTTTCCTAGGATATAAGTCTACATAAACAAAAGGGCCCTGATTATGAAGGCTCAATCCCATATTATTTGGGCTGACCTGTGTGACCTAGTTTTTGACCCCAGATGATCCATATATACAATGTACTTGACCTCAAAATTTCATTTAAACAACCTTTCTGAACAATTTTCCTGGATATTTGGATCAAAAAACAAAAGCTTCTATAGTGTGTTTACAAGGTTTTTCCATAATATTGCTGTGTTGCCTTGGTTTTTAACACTAGTTGACCAATATTTGAGATTGACCTAGAAATCACCAATACAACCTGTCTGACTGATTCCTAGATATTTGAATCATAACAGTAGTATCTAGAGTGTAAACAAGGTTTTTCCAGATATTGGTCTGTGTGACCTACTTTCTGACAAAAAGTGACCCATATTTAAACTTGACCTAGAAATTATCATAACAACCTTTCTGACCAATTTCTAGGATATCTGGACTGGAACAGTAGCCCCTAGAGTGTTTACAAGGTTTTCCAATACTTATGCTGTGTGACCTAGTTTTTTGACCCAAGGTTGAACCCATGTTCTTACTTTGCCTAGAAATCACCATAACAACTTTATTGACCAATTTCCAGGATATTTGGTTCAAAACAATAGCCTCTAGACTAGCAAGGTTTTTTCATATCTGGGCAGTGTGACCTAGTTTTTGACTATCGATGACCTATATTCCAATTGAGATGGAAATGATATAAACAACCTTTCTGACCAATTTCAAGGATATTTGGATCAACATTGTAGCCTCTAGAGTGTAAACAAGGTTTTTCCATATTTGGACAGTGTAACCTAGTTTTTGACCCAAGGTAACCCATATTCAAACTTGACCTTGAAATTATCATACCATCCTTCCTGACCATTTTCCATGACATTCTATGATAGCCCCTAGACAAGTGTGTACAAAGTTTTATGTTGATATCTCTTATTGTTTCAGAGTAATGTCCCGGACAAAGTTCAAAGTGTAAAAAGGGAACCTTTGTTGCAATATACCTGTTAAGTTAAATCCAACACCTTATTAATGCTAACGCCAACACTAAATAAATATATTTCACTTTAATGTATGGTCATAATCAACAAAGTAACTTCATTATTCCAATCCTAACGTTGCTAAGCCAGTTGATGACGTCGTGACGTTATGACGTCATAATGACGTTATATAAAGTTTACTAAACAAAAATAAGATGAAATTAACATTAATTATACTTTCTTTCTTTTCTTCTTTTCTGTGATGTTTTGAGTCATTAAAAAAACTGATGTTTTGAGTCATTAAAAAAAATGTAAGATATAAAAATGTTAAAATTCTACAAGTCTA